ACCGCGTGGCTACCCCCTCAACCCTACCTCCTCCCCATGGCTAACAGCGGGGAACATTTCTGTTTAGCCACAGGCAAACAGCCCAGCAGAAACGGGCTCCTCTGAGTGTCCCCTGAAGAAAAGCACTCTATTTCAACCAGGTGACCATGAATTATATCTCATTCTCCTGAGGATAACACAGAGAGATAAAGAATGGATGTTGTTTGAACGCCAGCAAATATACACTGCAATGCTTTGTTGTACAATGATTCCTGAGTACGTGTTACTGGCCTGGAGTGGTAAAGTGTCCTACCATGAAGGACGCAATAAGGCTGCCCTCCCCAGAAACCTTTTGCAAAGGCTTTGGGAGTACATCCAGGAGAGCCGCGAATGCCACGGCAAATTAATCCTTTCACATGCTAGCTTTTAAACCATGTATAGTATTTTAAAAAGGTACACTCACCAGAGGTCCCTTCTCCGCCTTCCGGGTCCAGGAAGCAGCCTTGGGTGGGTTCAGGGGGTACTGGCTCCAGGTCCAGGGTGAGAAACAGTTCCTAGCTGTCGGGAAAACCGGTTTCTCTGCTTGCTTGCTGTGAGCTATCTACAACCTCATCATCATCATCATCTTCTTCGTCCCCAAAACCTGTTTCCGTGTTGCCTCCATCTCCATTGAAGGAGTCAAACAACACGGCTGGGGCAGTGGTGGCTGACCCCCCTAAAATGGCATGCAGCTCATCATAGAAGCGGCATGTTTGGGGCTCTGACCCGGAGTGGCCATTCGCCTCTCTGGTTTTCTGGTAGGCTTGCCTCAGCTCCTTAAGTTTCACGCAGCACTGCTTCGGGTCCCTGTTATGGCCTCTGTCCTTCATGCCCTGGGAGATTTTGACAAAGGTTTTGGCATTTCGAAAACTGGAACGGAGTTCTGATAGCACGGATTCCTCTCCCCAAACAGCGATCAGATCCCGTACCTCCCGTTCGGTCCATGCTGGAGCTCTTTTGCGATTCTGGGACTCCATCATGGTCACCTCTGCTGATGAGCTCTGCATGGTCACCTGCAGCTTGCCATGCTGCCCAAACAGGAAATGAGATTCAAAAGTTCGCGGTTCTTTTCCTGTCTACCTGGCCAGTGCATCTGAGTTGAGAGTGCTGTCCAGAGCGGTCACAATGGAGCACTCTGGGATAGCTCCCAGAGGCCAATACCGTCGTGTCCACAGTACCCCAAATTCGAGCTGGCAAGGCCGATTTAAGCGCTAATCCACTTGTCAGGGGTTGAGTAAGGAAATCGATTTTAAGAGCCCTTTAATTCGAAATAAAGGTCTTCATCATGTGGACTGGTGCAGGTTTACATCGATTTAACGCTGCTAAATTCGACCTAAAGTCCTAGTGTAGACCAGGACTAAGGTAAGTTCTCAAGGCAAAGAGGCATGAGAGAAAAGGACAATGGTAGATCATTGCACAGAGACTATTACTAGTAGTTCTCCAGACAGAACTCCCCTGGTCCCTGGCAGCACTGAGCTGTCTGTGGTGCTGCAATTCCCTTTGGCCAGCCAGGAACAGCCCCTGCACTCCTCTTGCTCCAGCAAGGACCTGAGTCAGGTGTGCTCTGCAGCTCCTGTTATACTAGCCTGAAACCCTCTGATTGGCTAGCCCCTTGCAATTTCCCCTCCTGATTGGTTCCTTCCTGCAGTCTCTCTAGGTGACTTGGAGGACTTAGCTCCACTGGCCCCTTCTCGGGATGGGTGTGGCAGGACCCTGAGGTGTCTGAGCCTCGTCCATCCCGTTACACTGTGAATACACACACAGAGCAGACATATGTTATGCAGTGAAGTTGATGTAGTTCTGCTTTGTGGGGTTCATGGACATGACTGTGAGCCCACCTGTGAACTCATGCACCTGCCTGCTGGCGAACTGTACTCTGGGGGGGATCTCCCTCTGATCCAGCATGCAGGGCTTTGTGCACCACCACCAATAACTCAGCTTGACTCACATCCTGGGGTTAGTTTTGAGAATGGCAGCAGAAAAAAAGTGTCTTTTTACTGGTACACTGAACACATTTTATCTGGAATCATTGAGACCATAGACATAACATCCAACAGGGCCACTGCTACAGAGACCTTTTCAGAGTGGAACCACACTTTAAAGCTGTCCTCTAGATGCACACAATAAACTAATACAAGTAGCTTGAGTAGTTCATGAGTATCAAGTAGCAAATATACACCTCTTGATGCATATGTAATGGAAAGAATTATCCTAACACTTTGTCACACACTGAGAGGAAACATTGTTAAAAGGTTAATTTAAGAAGCCTGAAACAGACTTCCATGTATAATCATTAAAGATGGGCCTGAGAAACACAGGGCATGATTCTCCACTGCTTCACTTTGGTTTTATGGCAGTGTAACCCCAATCAAACCTTGCCTGAATGGACAGCCAAAGATCCCTCTGCCACAGGGGAATTGTCATCTGGAATAAAGATGGTGTAAACTGGCTCTATGCCACTCATTCTCTTCCCTCCACTGTATAGGGAGCATACTAGCTGGTGCAGTGGCTAGCTCAGTTGTTCTGGCTCCAAGATGGCCAGGAACAGGGGCGCAGAAAGTTGGCTTGGAGCTACTTTCCTCTCTTCTCCTCAATTATGCACAGAGTGTAAATTATGCTCATCTGTAGAATGAGCTTTAATTTTATCAAAAACACACATCTATGTTTCAGCGGGCTCAAAATCAGGGACAAAATTGCCTTCCCCAAGATAACCTTCTCATAGCATACAGTCATACTGGCAGTGTGAGCACAGTTACCCCAGCTGCAGGGGGTAACTCCTAAACCATAGGAGTATTTTACTTTAATTTTTTTTAAAAAACTTGCCAATACATAGAATCATAGAACTGGAAGGGATCTTGAGAGATCATCTAATCCAGTCCCTTGAACTCATGGCAGGACTAAGTATGACTTAGACCATCCCAGACAGGTGTTTGTTCAACCTCCTCTTAAAAATCCCCAATGATGGAGATTCCACAACTTTCCTAGGCAATTTATTCCAGTGCTTAATCACCCTGATAGTTAGGAAGTTTTTCCTAATGTTCAACCTAAACCGCCCTTGCTGCAATTTAAGCCCACTGCTTCTTGTCCTATCCTCAGAGGTTAAGAAGAATAATTTCTCTCACTTCTCCTTGTAACAACTTTTATGTACTTGAAAACTGTTATGTCCCCTCTCAGTCTTCTCTTCTCCAAACTAAACAAACCCAATTTTTTCAATCTTCCATCATAGGTCATGTTTTCTAGACCTTTATTCATTTTTATTGCCCTTCCCTGGACTTTCTCCAATTTGTTCACATCTTTCCTGAAATGTGGCACCCAGAACTGGACACAATGCTCCACACTGATTAGGCCTCAGCTGGAGTAGAGTGGAAGAATTACTTCTCGTGACTTGCTTACAACACTCCTGCTACTACATCCCAGAATTATATTTGCTTTTTTTGCAACAGTGTTACACTATTGACTCATATTTTGCTTGTGATCCACTATGACCCCCAGATCCCTTTCTGCAGTACTCCTTCCTAGGCAGTCATTTCCCATTTTCTGTGTGTGCAACTGATTGTTCCTTCCTAAGTGGAGTACTTTGCATTTGTCCTTATTGAATTTCATCTTATTTACTTCAGAGCATTTCTCCAGTTTGTCCAGATCATTTTGAATTTTAATCCTATCCTCCAAAGCACTTGCAACCCCTCCCAGCTTGGTATCATCCACAAACTTTAAGTGTACTCTGTATGCCACAATCTAAATCATTGATGAAGATATTGAACAGAACCAGACCCAGAACTGATCCCTGTGGGACCCCACTCATTATGCGCTTCTAGCATGACTGTGAACCACTGATAACTACTCTCTGGGAACGATTTTCCAACCAGTTCTGCACCCACCTTATAGTAGCTCCATCTAGGTTGTATTTCCCTAGTTTGTTTATGAGGAGAAGGTCATGCAAGACAGTATCAAAAGCCTTATTAAAGTCAAGATATACCACATCTACTGCTTCCCACCTATCTCCAAGGCTTGTTATCCTGTCAAAGAAAGCTATCAGGGTGGTTTGACATGATTTGTTCTTGACATGAATGATATTTGTAAGTTACATTACGTCAGGCCTTGCCATGTCCCTGTCTTTGCCAGACACACCCTCTTCCCTCCTCCCCCCCCTCCCTCCCCACCCACATACACCAGAAAGGAGACAGATAGGTAGAATGAGAGTCCACTTTATGCTGCTGCTGAATCAGGCAGCCACAAGTTCTGATTGTCTGAGGAGAATTACCCACTCTTAAGCTTGGTTGACACTACCAATTTTTGTCTATATAACTACATCACCCAGGGGTGTGGATTTTCCATGCCCCTGAGTAACGTAGTTATATCAACCTAACCTCCAGCATAGACAGTGCTACCTCAACAGGAGGGCTTCTCCCATCAACATAGCTAGTGCCTCTTGGAGAGGTGGTGTACCTATGTTCATGGGAGAAGCTCTGCTGACGGCATAGATAGTCTTCACTAAAGAGCTGCAGCTGCTGAGCTATAAATGTAGACCAGCCCTTAAAGTAAACCTGGAGTAAGTTTCAAGCTGTACTCTTAATGTATTCTAATTCAGGCCACTATTTACAAACAACATGCTGTTTCATTAACACTTAGAAGCCAGGAGCCTTGAATGGTACTGGTAAAAAAAAAAAAATCCAGTGAACAGCTGCACAATTCTAGCAATGTCAGTAATGACAAGAGTTAAATTTTGTTATGGATGCAAGCTCTCCCTGTAGGTGTATTTAGATGGTAAACTCTTTAGGGTAGCTCAAACGCATTTGATTCTCGTCTCGCACCATGAGTAACTCTCTTAACTTCAGCAGAGTTACCCATGATTTATACCAGTTTAAGTGAGAAGAGAATCAAACCTATTGTCTTTAAACCTGCCCGCAGGCACCTAGCACACTGTTGGCATTCTAAAAAGCCCATTCTAAAAAGCCCATTCTAAAAAGCCCATTAACACTTACCAGGAAACCTGCTATGTAGGTTGGCCTCACAGTTATATCCATTGAACTGTGCAGTCACCGAAAGCACCTGAATTGTCAGGAGGAGCAGTAACCATATTCGTTCCATTGCAAAACCTAGCAAGACATTATGAAGTTATTGCATGCATCTGTTTATTGCATTAAAGAGCCTTAATGCAACAATTAAACGATTCTATAGCCACTCAGGTTTTCAACCCAGGAATCAGGGACAAGGCTCACAAACCAAATTGACAATACACCACGGGTAGGGGGTCCCATTTCTCCGACTGCTGGATTAGAGTAATGCATATTGATTTCTAGGGAGTTGACCTATATCCTATTGGCAAGAACAAAGTCCAACAAGGTTTGAAAAAAGCTCCTAAAACAGCTAAGAAATAAAGGCTTCAAAAGTATATTACAGATTTAACAGAGCATTTAACTGTCACATACAGAGAGTATTTTTGTTCTTTTAATTTCAGATACTTAAGGAGAGGTATTGCCAAATCAGATAGATTTGATAGAAAAACAGTTTTGCTTCAGTAAACCATTGAAAACAATACAGCTAAATGTATGTAAGTTACTTCTCAAGTTTAAGGTGCTGAAATAAATCTGTCTTTTTATATCTTATCACCAAATTCTGCCTTGGAAGCATGCCTGCAGTTGCATTGGCCTTTACTAGAGAGTTTGCATAGAAACGGAAAATTTAATGAAATTTGGCAACCAGACTCCGAAATCAGAACAAATGGACATATTAGAGCATACCTTGACTGAGGGAAAACCCTCAAGATATAGTGTAGATGCAATAGATATATAACATAGGCCAATCAGGAAGAATGTTTGCTTTATCAAAATGTCAAAAATGTTTGACAAAAGATCTACAACTTGCAGAATTTAAAAGACATAGAACTTTTTCTATTTTAGGAAATAACTTTGCACCCTAATGTAGCTCTTAAGATACTCCATATGTTTCCAGACAGTAGATGCTGTGAAATTCTAAGAGGTGGTAAATTCCGAAGTTTGGGTTTCTATAATGGTGGTACTAGTGATACATTACTCAGATTACTATCATCAGTCTTTCATCCCAAATAATCTCAAAGTCCTTCACAAACTGTATAAATACAACATGACTGAAATGCAGCCATTCTAGCATGGCGAACAGCAGCCATAGTGCAGAGGAGTTGACAATTGTAGGGTGAGGGAAAAGTTCTAGCCAGTGACATTAGGTTAAACCCTTTTCTCTCGCAAAAGTACCAATGGATCTTTAGTTCCTGCACAAGGTTTGATCCAAAGCGCACTGACATTAACGGAAAAGCTCCATTGGGGTTTGGATGGGGCCCACAGAGCCAACAAAACATGACCCTTTTAAAAGGCTCATGCAGCGAGAGCCTCATATGGTACATTCCCTGTACACAAAAACTCCTCCTCCCCTCCAAGTAAAATTCAAGCAAGCTGGAGCATATACAATGTTGAACCAAATTCTGCTCTCGTTTACACTTTTGCAATCCCAGCACAGTCAAGGGAGTTACATGAGTGTAATCGGGAGAAATTTGACCCATTAATTTCTGTGCAGTTTTGCTTGAACAAGCACGGAGTAAAAAATGGAATACCGTACATAGTAGGTTCTTATTAAACATGGTACTGTATAATCAAACTAGATTTTTGATTGGTACATCCAAAAGAGGCTTGTCTTACAGCAATTGTGCAGCTTCTGGGCCAACATTTCCTCGGTCACAAAAGTTCAATCCCATTTTATTTCAAGCATTGTTAATAAGAGCACATTTTGGCTTTCTTATTTCATTCATTAGACCCTATTGTCAGTGAATGTTGACAAGAAGAGTTGAAAAAGCTATGAAAGAAAATGGCTGGCTACATGAGTTGCTGCAAAAATCTTTACTTGCACTCTCTCACTTTCTCCTCCTCACCCTCTGTTTCCCACTGCTGGAAATGCTCTTTCACATACAATCTGTATTTTTATTTTGTAAGAACCAGATTTTTCACTCAGGAAAATGACATCTCTCCCGCAGTAAAACATCCTGGCGCCTCTCCTTTTACAGAACTGGATGGACAAAGTTGCAATTATTCTGCTCTATTTGGGCCAGATTCTGATCCAGTTACATTGTGATCTCAGTGAATGACACTGGATTTACACCCATCTGGCTTTACCTCTCTAGCTGCTACACTGGTTTTCTTACTACCAAAATCCCTGATCTGAAAAGCAGCTAAGGAAAACACTGAACAACAGTAACCTTTCCAGTTTCAATGGAAAACAGATTTTACTGTCAATTCTAAAATTTTGAATATTTAACCTAACCTCAGCTGCTGATGTTTTATTTGTCTTAGCAGGAGAGGAGGAAAACAGAAGAAATGGACCCAAATAAATAACATCTTTTGCAGCACTTCTTCTCCAGTAACCTCTTGAGTAGGCCAGAATCTAACAAGCCTACTCAGTTTTTAGTTACTCCTTACTCACTGGACTTCAATTTAAGTCTGTCTGACTAAGGGCAGAGTGCTCAGTTTCTCCCCATCTTCCCACCCCTACCAACCCTTCAGTGTGAGGAGCATGCATCTCTGAGATTTTCATGGAACACCAGACTCATGAGTCATCTTTTAAGGAGTGCAGGAAAGATGGAGGTATGGGGGGGCAGTGGCAGCCCACACCCTTTCCATTTAGTGGAGGTGAGATTCATGCATGGATTGTCCCTTCCATACATGGATACGGAGAGTACAATTGGATCCTGAGTAAATACTGAAGAACCTCAAGATTTGGCCTGGGAACTGCAGACTTATCTGCAGTAGAAAGGCAGAATTAGAGAGCCTTGAAGTGAAGCATATTAAATCACAAAGACAGTACTCAGACATTCTACACCATGATCTCTAGCACTCAGCTTGCTACCATTAAAGTCAATGACAACTCCAACAGATTTCATAGGGGCAGGAACAGGCACTGGCAGGATTCTACTGTATATTTCTGACTAGCATGTTAAAGACAGACATACTCAGATTGTTATAGGTATAATATACTCTAGTGGACCCTTCATTTCATATTCATGCCCAGGCAATCTGATCTGGGGGCCTGACTAGTTTTTTGTTCAACTTATGTTTTTCAAAAAAAATGGGTAAAAAAATTTCAATAGCTTCATGTTACCCATCTTATTTTTAGAACAACTTAAAGGTGGGACTTTGGTAATTTTCCATTGAGGTTTAGGATTTCTTCTCCAAGGAGGTATAAAAAAGTAGCACACGTTCCTAACCTGTATAAGCTGACACACACAATCAATTGAATCTTCAGTAGTTATATTGCTTATTCCACATCTAAGGAAATATTATTTATATACAACATTAGATGGGGTAGATCTTATGGCAGATAACACAGTGATGAGTGCAGTATTAAAAACCTGTGCAAAACAGAATAGAACAGCCTCTGCAACCACTGGCTCAAGTTTAGTATACCATATTTTGGATTAACAACTATGTTTGGTGGGACCACTAGTCCGGGCAAGCCTCCCACAGTGGCACACCTACAGCCAAGTCTCCCCATCACATGTCCACCGCCTGTTAAAACACATAGTACTCATTGCAATACTCCAGTACAAAAGTGCTAGTGACCATCCTGTTGGTGAATGGACCAACACCAGCAGCAAACAGTCTGTGTAAAATTATATACCTATATAACCTCGTATGGCCAGACTATTATAATTATCAACCTCATCATTTTATCTGGACTATTTGCTGAATTTTATATAGATATGGATTCATAGATTTTTAAGGCCAGAAGCAACCATTAGATCATTAGTCTGACCTCCTGAATTACACAGGCCACAGAATTTCATCCAGTTACTCCTGTTTTAAGTAATGTGAGTTTGACTAAAGCATATCTTCTAGAAAAACTTCAAGAGATAGAGAATCCATCACTTTTCCTTGGTAGTTTGTTCCAGTGGTTAATCACCTCCACCATTAAAAACGTGTGCCTTGTTTCTAATTTGTCTGACTAATTTCCAGCCATTAGATCTCATAATGCCTCTTTCTGCTAGATTAAAAAGCCTTTTAGTATCCTGTATTTTCTCCTAGTGAAGATATTTATACACTGTAATCAAGTCACGACGGATTGTGTGTGTGTGTGTGTGTCTGTCTGTCTGTGAGAGAGTTAAGTCTAGTTTCAGTATTTAAAAAATATATTTTTTCTATTTAAACAAGAAAAAAAATGAGCAAATAATCACAGTATACATAATTTTGCTATTTTTTTAACTATGCTGTGTGAAGTCCTTTGAGCCTATTTTGAAAAAGAAAAACACACACAGCACATTCCTGAAAATGCTGCTTAGCCTAGGAAAGAAATATAGTCAGTTGTCAAAAAGACAGTTTGAAGTTTTAGGACTCTAAAGATGCTGACATATGCCATAAGGCAAATATGATCCTTAATGGCTATGAAATCCTTAGCTGAAAAACCTGATCTAATTTTGACTGACACATGCTGAGTTCTCATTTATTTTTCTAAGTCCTCTTTTCCCATTGGTGTGTCTGCTGAGGGTTTTCTCAAGTAATCTTTAATGTTCAAATGATTATAAAAAGCACAAATGCTTTGGCTTTGTGAAGAAAACTGAAAAGGTGGCCCAAACACACCAAAATATTTTTCTAAACCGTTTAATAAAAATTTCACTTCCAAATGATTTTTCCCCTACCTCCTCCCTCGTACTAAGTATGCTATTTTCTACTTTGAAAGGCTCTATTTTTCCTATGGATTTAGGGGCAGAGGTGAAATTTGTGCACAAGATTTCCATTAACACCAACAGAAGTTCACTTGATTAATATCTCAAGCATTAATAGAAAGGACACGGACAAAGGGACAGTCAGAGATTTAAAAAGACCTATCAAGCCAGGTTAATTAAGTCATTTTGCAAACTGCAGTTTATTCCGTTTTTTCAAACAAACAATAATCAATTCAAAATGTAAATGGTCTACAAATTAAGGACCAGATTTAATGACACAATAAATTTTCACAATATAGAAACAGCTAGCAGAGATCTTTACTGAATCAAGTTAGTTCTTTATATGCACAGCACAGAGACAGTTCTGACTGTTCTACACTTTGCATCATAAAGAAACAGATCA